TATATATAATAGTAAGCAAAACTATGAAACACAGGACCAGTTAATCCTACCCTAGAGCCTTCAGGGCCCTTTGGCCATGTTAATATTCTGGTCTTTTTTAAAACAAAGCAAAATCATTTAATAAATTTGAGACACTTCAATAAAAAAAATAGAAAAAATCATTCTGTCTAGAGCAGATACTGGCAATTTTTTCTGTAAGAAGGCAATTTTAGAGTTTATGGATCAAGAGACAAAGTCCAGGAGATTATAGACATTTACCTCTATAACTAGAGAGAAAAACAAATTCTCACAAAATTTGTATTGGTGAAATTCAAAACACTATAAACATTGCAAAATGTCTCAAATTATCCTTCTGATTTTTTTTAATATTTAAAAATGTAAAAACTGTTGTTAGCTCATGGTCATGTCAGTCACCCTCTTGTTTAGAGAAAGAATAATACTGTAATAAAGTAACTATAGCAGAGACTAGGGTGAGAGCAGTAAGGATATAGATTTCTGAGCAAGCTAAGAGAATTGAAAAGGCGTGGTAAGAGTAAAAAGAGGTTATACCAGGTTTCTGGCCAACTGAGTAGACAAAAAAATACCAGAAGAGAAGCAAATTATAGAGTGTAAAGGAATGGTAGGAAGCAAAAGTAATGGGGAGTTTATGTGGAGGTCGGGGTGCTGGCATATGTCCATAATCCCTGCATTTAGGAGGCCAAGGCAGCAGGATTACAAACTGGAACCCAATCTGGGTAACTTCATGAGCAAAAAAAGACTGGAGATGTGCAAAGGCCTTGGGCTCAACTCCCAGTACCAAAAAGAATAATGCATTTTCGAGTGGGTTATGTTTAAGATTCCCAGGTATAGCACTTAAGAAAGGTAAAAGTTCTCTAGAGCTATACAGTGAGGAATCATCACAGGATTTTATTTTAAATCTGTGTGAAGAACTGGGCGTGGTGGCGCACACCTATAATCCCAGCACTCAAGAGGCCAGGGCAAGAGGACTGCTTCAAGTTTGAGACCAGCCTGGGCTACAAAGTGAGCTCAAGGCCAGGCTGAACTGCATAGCAAGACATGTCTCAAAAAGACAAAAATCAATCAATCAATCAATCAATCAATCAATCAATCCATGCGAGCAGATGGCCAGACAATTTTAAAAAAGGTGAGGGCTGCCAGGCATGGTAGCACAACTGAGGGAAAAGGATCTATTAAAATTCAAGGCTGGTTTGAGCTTCATAGTAAATTCAAGGCCAGTCTAAACTATTTAGTGAGACCCTGTCTCAAAAAAAGAACAAGGGGGGGGGGGGGGAGAAAATACAACTCTTCAAGAAATTCTAAAAATAAAGATAGAGAACAAGTTGAAATTTTGGGGGGGGGGGGGGAGAAAATACAACTCTTCAAGAAATTCTAAAAATAAAGATAGAGAACAAGTTGAAATTTTCCAAATTTCTCAGTCTCCTACATTTCTAATTCTACAAAATAAAATTCTTCTTTACATGATCAATAAAGTTTGCCCTATCCAAAAATAGGGCAAACTTTGAAAAGGAGGGTGGGCGAGATAGCTCAGTGGTCTAAAACACCTGCTTAGGCAAGCTAAGGCAAATAAATGCACAGAGACCATGGCTGGATCCCCAGCACCACATGCCATACTAGCCCCGCCCCCAGGGTGGGCTAGCCAGCCTCAAAAGAAGGGGCGGGGGGAATGGAATACATTCAGTGGCAGAGTACTTAACATATGTGAGGCCTTGGGTCAATTATAAATAATTTAAATCTTATCACAAAATACAAATTATTCAGAACCTACCATTTAAAGTTATCTCAAATGCACCTGTTGACATACACTGGTTCTCAATCATGTTGCTCAAGAAGAAAACCATCATACATGCATAGACCTAGAAGAAAATATAGCAACCTAAGACCCAGTGATCTGTTTAATATACTGTGTCTTTTCTATTTGGTAAATACTTTTTTAAACATCTACTTAGAAAGTTTTCACACAAACTATTACTACTATTCTACACGTTCAGATAACATCTACAGAGCAAGAAAAATTCACTATAAATTCATAGCTCTATAAATTCTGAAGAATTTACGATATTCATATTGTACATAGAATTTTTAAGAGAAGTCATAATAATCCAACTAAAGATTGTCAATATAAGGATGACCACAATTTACATTTTCATAGCGCAAAGTAATATAAAAATTCACAAGAGACTAGTGATGCAATAATCGGTAACTATGAATTCAAAATAACCTATTGTGTATTAAACAAATCATCTCAAGTCAAACTAAGAAACAGGTTAGAGAGCATAGGCATATTAAAAGTACATTCACTCACCTTTTGAAGTCAAATCTATAACCTCCCAGAGACTAGAAATTGTTGAACCTACCATTTAAACCTACTAGAAATTGTTGAACAAAGAAGTTCAACTTAGCAAAATCCTTACACTATAGTGAGGATGTCAATTCACAGCAAGTTGCTTCAGAAAAATACATGCCCATAGCAGACAAAGAAGAACTGTGCATCTTGCCTCCCTTGGATTAGACTAAGCAGCATTTGATTTCACAGCATTTGCTCTCATGGGGACAATATATAAGGATCTGTCAGAAAAGTAAGGCTTTTACGTATACTCTTTTTTCTACAGTCTCTCTCTCTCTCTCTCTCTCTCTCTCTCTCTCTCTCTCTCTCTCTGTATCTGTATCTGTATCTGTATCTGTATCTGCATATATAGAGAGGAGTTAAAATACACTAAATACAATCTGGAATCATAAAGCACAAAACCTTACTAATAAGTAATTATCTCCCTATTTTGAGTCCTTTGCAAATCAACATTTTCTAGTAACAGGGTAGAGACATACTTCAATTAGAGATAACACCTGAGGATGTTTATGTTAAAAAGTATTGCATGAAAAAAAAAGTATTGTATGTTACTAAAAATAAAGGTTCTTTAAAATGAATA